CGGCATGTCAAACATCTCACTTGTACTGATGATTTTAAAGTTGAGCAGAGTTATGGGCAGTAGGGCTTGGGCGGGTAGGCGGTTCCACGGGTTAATAACCCCGAGGGTGAAGACACATCTGTGAGGCCAACATTGTGGCTTGTTAAGGTCGACACTGTTGTTGTTCCTTGTTGTGTTACAGCTGACCGTCTGAACACATTGTCCCCATCAACACCCTCCAAATTGTTCAGTATTTGGAACGTTTCGGTGAGATCGGCGCTGTCATGTCTGGTTATCTTGAGGTTATCTTGAGATGATTTTGGGGCTTTTAGTGTCCCCGCGGCCCGGTCCTCGACCAGGCCTCCACCCCCAGGAAGCAGCCCGTGACAGCTGACTAACACCCAGGTACCTATTTTACTGCTAGGTAACAGGGGCATTCAGGGTGAAAGAAACTTTGCCCATTTGTTTCTGCCTCGTGCGGGAATCGAACCCGCGCCACAGAATTACGAGCCCTGCGCGCTATCCACCAGACTACGAGGTCTGGTGCTGTGTTGTGTGGCCCTCAGCCGTTACTGGTACGAGAGTTGACTTAGCACTGGAATGATTTGTGTTGCCCGGTGTTGCACGTTCTCCAGTGAAGCTGTCCTTCTGAAGATAAGGTCCCCACGCCTGGAAGCAATAATCCAAGTGGGGAAGCATTATACATTTTGCCAGGAAGGAGAACCTGAGACTTCAATAACAGGAGGACAGGGGAGGGTTGCTGAGCCACAGCAACGCGTGGCCGGGGACAGCTAGTATTATAATAAGAATAACAGCTACAATGTTTGTGTCTCTGGAAGAGTCACTCCGGGCGGCGTCTGGAGACCTTAATGACACCATCAAAGAGGCTCTCTGATTGGCAGAACTTATTTAAAAGCGCCAGTTGATTGGTGGCTCACGCGCCCGCTCGCTCATTGGTCGACTCATCAGCAAGGCGACACCTCTGATGATCTTAATGACAGACGGAGTATACTGCTGACCTGGTGACCACACTGGAGTATACTGCTGACCTGGTGACCACACTGGAGTATACTGCTGACCTGGTGACCACACTGGAGTATACTGTTGACCTGGTGACCACACTGGAGTATACTGCTGACCTGGTGACCACACTGGAGTATACTGCTGACCTGGTGACCACACTGGAGTATACTGCTGACCTGGTGACCACACTGGAGTATACTGCTGACCTGGTGACCACACTGGAGTATACTGCTGACCTGGTGACCACACTGGAGTATACTGCTGACCTGGTGACCACACTGGAGTATACTGCTGACCTGGTGACCACACTGGAGTATACTGCTGACCTGGTGACCACACTTGGGTATACTGCTGACCTGGTGACCACACTGGAGTATACTGCTGACCTGGTGACCACACTGGAGTATACTGTTGACCTGGTGACCACACTGGAGTATACTGCTGACCTGGTGACCACACTGGAGTATACTGCTGACCTGGTGACCACACTGGAGTATACTGCTGACCTGGTGACCACACTGGAGTATACTGTTGACCTGGTGACCACACTGGAGTATACTGTTGACCTGGTGACCACACTGAAGTATACTACTGACCTGGTGACCACACTGGAGTATACTGCTGACCTGGTGACCACACTGGAGTATACTGTTGACCTGGTGACCACACTGGAGTATACTGTTGACCTGGTGACCACACTGGAGTATACTGCTGACCTGGTGACCACACACTGGGGTATACTACTGACCTGGTGACCACACTGGAGTATACTGCTGACCTGGTGACCACACACTGGGGTATACTACTGACCTGGTGACCACACTGGAGTATACTGCTGACCTGGTGACCACACTGGAGTATACTGCTGACCTGGTCACCACACTGGAGTATACTGTTGACCTGGTGACCACACTGGAGTATACTACTGACCTGGTGACCACACTGGAGTATACTACTGACCTGGTGACCACACTGGAGTATACTACTGACCTGGTGACCACACTGGAGTATACTACTGACCTGGTGACCACACTGGAGTATACTGCTGACCTGGTCACCACACTGGAGTATACTACTGACCTGGTGACCGCACTGGAGTATACTACTGACCTGGTGACCACACTGGAGTATACTGCTGACCTGGTGACCACACACTGGAGTATACTACTGACCTGGTGACCACACTGGAGTATACTGCTGACCTGGTGACCACACACTGGGGTATACTACTGACCTGGTGACCACACTGGAGTATACTGCTGACCTGGTGACCACACTGGAGTATACTGCTGACCTGGTCACCACACTGGAGTATACTGTTGACCTGGTAACCACACTGGAGTATACTACTGACCTGGTGACCACACTGGAGTATACTACTGACCTGGTGACCACACTGGAGTATACTACTGACCTGGTGACCACACTGGAGTATACTACTGACCTGGTGACCACACTGGAGTATACTGCTGACCTGGTCACCACACTGGAGTATACTACTGACCTGGTGACCGCACTGGAGTATACTACTGACCTGGTGACCACACTGGAGTATACTGCTGACCTGGTGACCACACAGAGTATACTACTGACCTGGTGACCACACTGGAGTATACTACTGACCTGGTGACCACACTGGAGTATACTGCTGACCTGGTGACCACACACTGGAGTATACTACTGACCTGGTGACCACACTGGAGTATACTACTGACCTGGTGACCACACTGGAGTATACTACTGACCTGGTGACCACACTGGAGTATACTGCTTAACAAAGTAATTAAAGCAGGTTTCAGGCCAATAAAACCATCGCCGTTGTATCAACAGTTCCTAAAATATTGAGACAAAAGTATATTGTATATTTTGTTCCTTCCAAATTAGTTAAATAAAAACCTTTGACATGTTTTTATCGTGTAATGTTGCACAATAGTTATGTATGATGTTAAACTAATTAACTTCTCATATCAATCCACTTCCACAGATGTGTAGATGACAATGTTGCCTCATGACTGACCTGGAAACACAAACCGAAACTGTCTCTATTTTCCGCTTGTTACAACTTGAAATAAAGTTGTTATATCTTGGCTTAACGTGTTTATGACGTATTAGAACGTTGTTACAACTTGCTATATTGGTTGTTATAACTGGTTAGCAGGTGTGAAAACTTGTTCGAACGTTGTACCAACGTCGTAGTTTCGGTGTGTGTTTGGTGGGTGGCAGTTCTTGGAGTCAGAAGTCCACTAATAACTTCATGTTCACTTTCCTCTTGAAAGTGAAAGAAAATGATGTGTAAACATTTGTGTTGAAAAATACCAAATGTGGCCAAAAACTCATTATTTTCGATCAATTTTCAGTGTGGTCGGGATGCGGAAACTTTCCTAATTAACCGGTTTTTATGTGAGGTTTATCTTGGGTAATATTAACGCTTATATCAGGTCTATCTAACTTTAGCGAGCGTTAAACGGAGCGGAATTGTCTGTGCTTGCCAGAGTGATTACCCTCACCCCACCGTAATGACTCCAACTCCTCCTCTTATATGTAACGTCGCTTTACGCTGGTATGCGCGGCTATGGCCAAAAATGGACCTAATTTGAAATGAAATCGGCTGACGAAAGTGACGTACTGTCCCGTTTTCTGTTTGAGTCGTCCGGCTTACTCGGTTAGGTTAGAAGAGGATACTTTTAATTAACGTTTTTTTATGACGTTTTGAAACTTTAGGTGAATTTCCTGCTCATCTAGCCTACCACGGGACACTTAACTTCCTGTCTGGAAAAACAAAATTCTTAATTTATTCGATTTTTTTTCACTTTCAAATAACGTCCATTTTCGGCCATATGGTTAAACGGCCAAATTCAGACATAACTGGTAAGAGACCAGGTCGCTGCCCGAGTCCTGCTCTACTGCTACTGTTGTATACCGCAGGCTACGGCTACACAGGGCTGTGTATGTGGTAGACTGGCAGCGGTATACTGAGTACCCCCTGGTAGACTGGCAGCGTTATACTGAGTACCCACTGGTAGACTAGCAGCTGTATACTGAGTACCCACTGGTAGACTAGCAGCTATATACTGAGTACCCACTGGTAGACTAGCAGCTGTATACTGAGTACCCACTGGTAGACTAGCAGCGGTATACTGAGTACCCACTGGTAGACTAGCAGCTGTATACTGAGTACCCACTGGTAGACTAGCAGCGGTATACTGAGTACCCACTGGTAGACTAGCAGCGGTATACTGAGTACCCACTGGTAGACTAGCAGCTGTATACTGAGTACCCACTGGTAGACTAGCAGCTGTATACTGAGTACCCACTGGTAGACTAGCAGCGGTATACTGAGTACCCACTGGTAGACTAGCAGCTGTATACTGAGTACCCACTGGTAGACTAGCAGCTGTATACTGAGTACCCACTGGTAGACTAGCAGCGGTATACTGAGTACCCACTGGTAGACTAGCAGCTGTATACTGAGTACCCACTGGTAGACTAGCAGCGTTATACTGAGTACCCACTGGTAGACTAGCAGCGTTATACTGAGTACCCACTGGTAGATGGGCTCGAGAGAACCAAGCAGTCTAAACTTGACTTCTACACATGTATCAGCTCGCTAGACTAAGGAATACAATCTATTATGCGCGGCCAGACCTCTTCAGCTAGTAAGACATGTTCTTGTCTCCAAAATAAGTAACTCTGCTCTTTTAAAACATATATGTTGTGAAGACCTTCAGCACGAGGTTCTAATAAGTTGATGACCAGACCACACACTACAAGTTGAAGGGACGACGACGTTTCGGTCCGTCCTGGACCATTCTCAAGTCGACAATCGACTTGAGAATGGTCCAGGACGGACCGAAACGTGGTCGTCCCTTCACCTTCTAGTGTGTGGTCTGGTCAACATACTTCAGCCACGTTATTGTGACTCATCGCCTGTATATAATAAGTTGTTGTGTAGTGTGGTGAAGGTGTGGTGAGTAACCTAGTGTGTCCCCCGCAGGGTGCAGGAGCCGCCATGTTGGCCCGACACGGTGCTGGGGCGGCGTCGCTGCTCCTCCTGCTCTCCGTCACCGCCACAGTCGCCGCTTACGACTACTACCTCGACGACCAGGACGACGCCTCGCGCCTCCTGCAGGTGAGTCCTGCCCTCCAGCAGGGAGTGTAGGCTGATAGTGAGTCCTGCCCTCCAGCAGGGAGTGTAGGCTGATAGTGAGGTGAGTCCTGCCCTCCAGCAGGGAGTGTAGGCTGATAGTGAGTCCTGCCCTCCAGCAGGTGAGTCCTGCCCTCCAGCAGGTGAGTCCTGCCCTCCAGCAGGTGAGTCCTGCCCTCCAGCAGGTGAGTCCTGCCCTCCAGCAGGGCTGTAGGCTGATAGTGAGTCCTGCCCTCCAGCAGGGAGTGTAGGCTGATAGTGAGTCCTGCCCTCCAGCAGGGAGTGTAGGCTGATAGTGAGTCCTGCCCTCCAGCAGGGAGTGTAGGCTGATAGTGAGTCCTGCCCTCCAGCAGGTGAGTCCTGCCCTCCAGCAGGTGAGTCCTGCCCTCCAGCAGGTGAGTCCTGCCCTCCAGCAGGTGAGTCCTGCCCTCCAGCAGGTGAGTCCTGCCCTCCAGCAGGTGAGTCCTGCCCTCCAGCAGGGAGTGTAGGCTGATAGTGAGTCCTGCCCTCCAGCAGGGAGTGTAGGCTGATAGTGAGTCCTGCCCTCCAGCAGGGAGTGTAGGCTGATAGTGAGTCCTGTCCTCCAGCAGGGAGTGTAGGCTGATAGTGAGTCCTGCCCTCCAGCAGGGAGTGTTGGCTGATAGTGAGGTGAGTCCTGCCCTCCAGCAGGGAGTGTAGGCTGATAGTGAGTCCTGCCCTCCAGCAGGGAGTGTAGTCTGATAGTGAGTCCTGCCCTCCAGCAGGGCGTGTAGGCTGATAGTGAGTCCTGCCCTCCAGCAGGGAGTGTAGGCTGATAGTGAGTCCTGCCCTCCAGCAGGGAGTGTAGGCTGATAGTGATGTGAGTCCTGCCCTCCAGCAGGGAGTGTAGGCTCATAGTGAGTCCTGCCCTCCAGCAGGGAGTGTAGTCTGATAGTGAGTCCTGCCCTCCAGCAGGGCGTGTAGGCTGATAGTGAGTCCTGCCCTCCAGCAGGGAGTGTAGGCTGATAGTGAGTCCTGCCCTCCAGCAGGGAGTGTAGGCTGATAGTGAGTCCTGCCCTCCAGCAGGGAGTGTTGGCTGATAGTGAGTCCTGCCCTCCAGCAGGGCGTGTAGGCTGATAGTGAGTCCTGCCCTCCAGCAGGGAGTGTAGGCTGATAGTGAGTCCTGCCCTCCAGCAGGGAATGTAGTCTGATAGTGAGGCGAGTCCTGCCCTCCAGCAGGGAGTGTAGGCTGATAGTGAGTCCTGCCCTCCAGCAGGGAGTGTAGGCTGATAGTGAGTCCTGCCCTCCAGCAGGGAGTGTAGGCTGATAGTGAGGTGAGTCCTGCCCTCCAGCAGGGAGTGTAGGCTGATAGTGAGTCCTGTCCTCCAGCAGGGAGTGTAGGCTGATAGTGAGTCCTGCCCTCCAGCAGGGAGTGTAGGCTGATAGTGAGTCCTGCCCTCCAGCAGGGCGTGTAGGCTGATAGTGAGTCCTGCCCTCCAGCAGGGAGTGTAGGCTGATAGTGAGGTGAGTCCTGCCCTCCAGCAGGGAGTGTAGGCTGATAGTGAGGTGAGTCCTGCCCTCCAGCAGGGAGTGTAGGCTGATAGTGAGTCCTGTCCTCCAGCAGGGAGTGTAGGCTGATAGTGAGTCCTGCCCTCCAGCAGGGAGTGTAGGCTGATAGTGAGTCCTGCCCTCCAGCAGGGCGTGTAGGCTGATAGTGAGTCCTGCCCTCCAGCAGGGAGTGTAGGCTGATAGTGAGGTGAGTCCTGCCCTCCAGCAGGGCGTGTAGGCTGATAGTGAGTCCTGCCCTCCAGCAGGGCGTGTAGGCTGATAGTGAGTCCTGCCCTCCAGCAGGGAGTGTAGGCTGATAGTGAGGTGAGTCCTGCCCTCCAGCAGGGAGTGTAGGCTGCTAGTGAGTCCTGCCCTCCAGCAGGGAGTGTAGGCTGATAGTGAATCCTGCCCTCCAGCAGGGAGTGTAGGCTGATAGTGAGGTGAGTCCTGCCCTCCAGCAGGGCGTGTTGGCTGATAGTGAGTCCTGCCCTCCAGCAGGGAGTGTAGGCTGATAGTGAGTCCTGCCCTCCAGCAGGGCGTGTAGGCTGATAGTGAGTCCTGCCCTCCAGCAGGGAGTGTAGGCTGATAGTGAGTCCTGCCCTCCAACAGGGAGTGTAGGCTGATAGTGAGTCCTGCCCTCCAGCAGGGCGTTTAGGCTGATAGTGAGGTGAGTCCTGCCCTCCAGCAGGGCGTGTAGGCTGATAGTGAGTCCTGCCCTCCAGCAGGGAGTGTAGGCTGATAGTGAGTCCTGCCCTCCAGCAGGGCGTGTAGGCTGATAGTGAGTCCTGCCCTCCAGCAGGGAGTGTAGGCTGATAGTGAGTCCTGCCCTCCAACAGGGAGTGTAGGCTGATAATGAGTCCTGCCCTCCAACAGGGAGTGTAGGCTGATAATGAGTCCTGCCCTCCAGCAGGGCGTGTAGGCTGATAGTGAGGTGAGTCCTGCCCTCCAGCAGGGAGTGTATGCTGATAGTGAGTCCTGCCCTCCAGCAGGGCGTGTAGGCTGATAGTGAGTCCTGCCCTCCAGCAGGGCGTGTAGGCTGATAGTGAGGCGAGTCCTGCCCTCCAGCAGGGAGTGTTGGCTGATAGTGAGTCCTGCCCTCCAGCAGGGAGTGTAGGCTGATAGTGAGTCCTGCCCTCCAGCAGGGAGTGTAGGCTGATAGTGAGTCCTGCCCTCCAGCAGGGCGTGTAGGCTGATAGTGAGTCCTGCCCTCCAGCAGGGAGTGTAGGCTGATAGTGAGTCCTGCCCTCCAGCAGGGAGTGTAGGCTGATAGTGAATCCTGCCCTCCAGCAGGGAGTGTAGTCTGATAGTGAGGTGAGTCCTGCCCTCCAGCAGGGAGTGTAGGCTGATAGTGAGGCGAGTCCTGCCCTCCAGCAGGGCGTGTAGGCTGATAGTGAGGTGAGTCCTGCCCTCCAGCAGGGAGTGTAGGCTGATAGTGAGTCCTGCCCTCCAGCAGGGAGTGTAGTCTGATAGTGAGGTGAGTCCTGCCCTCCAGCAGGGAGTGTTGGCTGATAGTGAGGTGAGTCCTGCCCTCCAGCAGGGAGTGTAGGCTGATAGTGAGTCCTGCCCTCCAGCAGGGAGTGTAGTCTGATAGTGAGGTGAGTCCTGCCCTCCAGCAGGGAGTGTTGGCTGATAGTGAGGTGAGTCCTGCCCTCCAGCAGGGAGTGTAGGCTGATAGTGAGTCCTGCCCTTCAGCAGGGAGTGTAGTCTGATAGTGAGGTGAGTCCTGCCCTCCAGCAGGGAGTGTAGGCTGATAGTGAGGCGAGTCCTGCCCTCCAGCAGGGCGTGTAGGCTGATAGTGAGTCCTGCCCTCCAGCAGGGAGTGTAGGCTGATAGTGAGGTGAGTCCTGCCCTCCAGCAGGGAGTGTAGGCTGATAGTGAGTCCTGCCCTCCAGCAGGGAGTGTAGGCTGATAGTGAGTCCTGCCCTCCAGCAGGGAGTGTAGGCTGATAGTGAGGCGAGTCCTGCCCTCCAGCAGGGCGTGTAGGCTGATAGTGAGGCGAGTCCTGCCCTCCAGCAGGGAGTGTAGGCTGATAGTGAGTCCTGCCCTCCAGCAGGGCGTGTAGGCTGATAGTGAGGTGAGTCCTGCCCTCCAGCAGGGAGTGTTGGCTGATAGTGAGTCCTGCCCTCCAGCAGGGAGTGTTGGCTGATAGTGAGGTGAGTCCTGCCCTCCAGCAGGGAGTGTAGGCTGATAGTGAGGTGAGTCCTGCCCTCCAGCAGGGAGTGTTGGCTGATAGTGAGTCCTGCCCTCCAGCAGGGAGTGTTGGCTGATAGTGAGTCCTGCCCTCCAGCAGGGAGTGTAGGCTGATAGTGAGTCCTGCCCTCCAGCAGGGAGTGTAGGCTGATAGTGAGTCCTGCCCTCCAGCAGGGAGTGTAGGCTGATAGTGAGTCCTGCCCTCCAGCAGGGAGTGTAGGCTGATAGTGAGTCCTGCCCTCCAGCAGGGCGTGTAGGCTGATAGTGAGTCCTGCCCTCCAGCAGGGAGTGTAGGCTGATAGTGAGGTGAGTCCTGCCCTCCAGCAGGGAGTGTAGGCTGATAGTGAGTCCTGCCCTCCAGCAGGGAGTGTAGGCTGATAGTGAGTCCTGCCCTCCAGCAGGGAGTGTAGGCTGATAGTGAGGTGAGTCCTGCCCTCCAGCAGGGCGTGTTGGCTGATAGTGAGTCCTGCCCTCCAGCAGGGAGTGTAGGCTGATAGTGAGTCCTGCCCTCCAGCAGGGAGTGTAGGCTGATAGTGAGTCCTGCCCTCCAGCAGGGAGTGTAGGCTGATAGTGAGGTGAGTCCTGCCCTCCAGCAGGGCGTGTAGGCTGATAGTGAGGTGAGTCCTGCCCTCCAGCAGGGAGTGTAGGCTGATAGTGAGTCCTGCCCTCCAGCAGGGCGTGTAGGCTGATAGTGAGGTGAGTCCTGCCCTCCAGCAGGGAGTGTTGGCTGATAGTGAGTCCTGCCCTCCAGCAGGGAGTGTTGGCTGATAGTGAGGTGAGTCCTGCCCTCCAGCAGGGCGTGTAGGCTGATAGTGAGTCCTGCCCTCCAGCAGGGCGTGTTGGCTGATAGTGAGTCCTGCCCTCCAGCAGGGAGTGTAGGCTGATAGTGAGTCCTGCCCTCCAGCAGGGAGTGTAGGCTGATAGTGAGTCCTGCCCTCCAGCAGGGCGTGTACGCTGATAGTGAGTCCTGCCCTCCAGCAGGGAGTGTAGGCTGATAGTGAGTCCTGCCCTCCAGCAGGGAGTGTAGGCTGGTAGTGAGTCCTGCCCTCCAGCAGGGAGTGTAGTCTGATAGTGAGGTGAGTCCTGCCCTCCAACAGGGAGTGTAGGCTGATAGTGAGGCGAGTCCTGCCCTCCAGCAGGGCGTGTAGGCTGATAGTGAGGTGAGTCCTGCCCTCCAGCAGGGAGTGTAGGCTGATAGTGAGGCGAGTCCTGCCCTCCAGCAGGGAGTGTAGGCTGATAGTGAGGCGAGTCCTGCCCTCCAGCAGGGCGTGTAGGCTGATAGTGAGGTGAGTCCTGCCCTCCAGCAGGGAGTGTAGGCTGATAGTGAGTCCTGCCCTCCAGCAGGGAGTGTAGTCTGATAGTGAGGTGAGTCCTGCCCTCCAGCAGGGAGTGTTGGCTGATAGTGAGGTGAGTCCTGCCCTCCAGCAGGGAGTGTAGGCTGATAGTGAGTCCTGCCCTCCAGCAGGGAGTGTAGGCTGATAGTGAGTCCTGCCCTCCAGCAGGGAGTGTAGGCTGATAGTGAGGTGAGTCCTGCCCTCCAGCAGGGAGTGTAGGCTGATAGTGAGGCGAGTCCTGCCCTCCAGCAGGGCGTGTAGGCTGATAGTGAGTCCTGCCCTCCAGCAGGGAGTGTAGGCTGATAGTGAGGTGAGTCCTGCCCTCCAGCAGGGAGTGTAGGCTGATAGTGAGGTGAGTCCTGCCCTCCAGCAGGGAGTGTAGGCTGATAGTGAGTCCTGCCCTCCAGCAGGGAGTGTTGGCTGATAGTGAGGTGAGTCCTGCCCTCCAGCAGGGAGTGTAGGCTGATAGTGAGGTGAGTCCTGCCCTCCAGCAGGGAGTGTTGGCTGATAGTGAGTCCTGCCCTCCAGCAGGGAGTGTTGGCTGATAGTGAGTCCTGCCCTCCAGCAGGGAGTGTAGGCTGATAGTGAGTCCTGCCCTCCAGCAGGGAGTGTAGGCTGATAGTGAGTCCTGCCCTCCAGCAGGGAGTGTAGGCTGATAGTGAGTCCTGCCCTCCAGCAGGGAGTGTAGGCTGATAGTGAGGCGAGTCCTGCCCTCCAGCAGGGAGTGTTGGCTGATAGTGAGTCCTGTCCTCCAGCAGGGCGTGTAGGCTGATAGTGAGGTGAGTCCTGCCCTCCAGCAGGGCGTGTAGGCTGATAGTGAGTCCTGCCCTCCAGCAGGGAGTGTAGGCTGATAGTGAGGCGAGTCCTGCCCTCCAGCAGGGAGTGTTGGCTGATAGTGAGTCCTGCCCTCCAGCAGGGAGTGTAGGCTGATAGTGAGTCCTGCCCTCCAGCAGGGAGTGTAGGCTGATAGTGAGGTGAGTCCTGCCCTCCAGCAGGGAGTGTAGGCTGATAGTGAGGTGAGTCCTGCCCTCCAGCAGGGAGTGTTGGCTGATAGTGAGTCCTGCCCTCCAGCAGGGCGTGTAGGCTGATAGTGAGTCCTGCCCTCCAGCAGGGCGTGTAGGCTGATAGTGAGTCCTGCCCTCCAGCAGGGAGTGTAGGCTGATAGTGAGTCTTGCCCTCCAGCAGGGAGTGTAGGCTGATAGTGAGGTGACGGGGAGTGAGCGGTCTTCATATGTGACACTCAGTGTGGTTATGTAAATAATTACAAGTGTTTGACACTTTGTTTTTCTTCCGTTTATATTGTGACGGGAAGAGTCTATACAAGCTATACACTGTGTCTATACAAGCTATACACTGTGTCTATACAAGCTATACACTGTGTCTATACAAGCTATACACTGTGTCTATACAAGCTATTCACTGTGTCTATACAAGCTATTCACTGTGTCTATACAAGCTATTCACTGTGTCTATACAAGCTATTCACTGTGTCTATACATGCTATTCACTGTGTCTATACAAGCTATACACTGTGTCTATACATTAATAGGGGTGTGGAGGGGAGTTGGGAGAAGTTCCTTTGTACCTACAATGAAAGTTGGTTATTAGAACCAACCTGACACTAGCTTACCGTGGAGCAGAGGTCCCCACCACTACCTGGCGGAACAAACAACCGACCTCACAGCCCAACCCGTTCTCGCAAATTTAATAAGTCAATATTGACTTATTAAATATGTGCGTAGGTGACATACTTAACATAATAGATACCCTTAAAAAGATTCATAGAAAACACCGATAAGATAAGCATCTTATTGCTTCGTAATTACAATTATTACCTAACCTATAATAGGTATAGGTTAAGTAATAATTGTAATTACGAAGCAATAAGATGCTTATCTTAAGATACTAACAAGGTTAGGTAAGGTCGGTGTGTTCTATGAATCTTTTTAAGGGTATCTATTATGTTAAGTATATCACCTATGCACGTAGTTAATAAGTCAATATTGACTTTACGAATTTGCGAGAACGGGTTGCAACGCCACCCTCCCGCTACCGTTGGTCGGCCAGCAATGGACACTGGAGTGCTTGCTATTATTTGGAAGATCATCCTGGTAAGCGCCTGGTTCTGGGAGAGGGGTTTCAGTGTCACCTGTGTTCAGGGGTGCGGCTCACACTGCCTAGTTGTCACGTGTACACAGCCCCTCTTGAGCCGCCGTGACTCCCCGCACTCTCCTTACTGTGGGATGATCTCTCAGTCTCCCTTAGTTAGTTATAGTCCACTATCACTCGAGTTATAGCCGCGTGTGTCTCTCTCACTAGCCGGGAAGCCTCACCAGGACATGAGCAAAAGCTAGCTAACAAATACAACATTTAATACAATATAACACAAAATATACATACAGGAAAAGTTATAAACAATGTAACCTCTTATGCTGCTATCAACAGATAACACTCCAATATCGCCTTATGTCTCCAACCTATAACTGTATCAGGCTGCTACTTCAACTTCAGCCTACAACTTTCTGCTCCCTTCACTGCTTAAGGCTCCAATACACGGTACAATAAAAAGGCTCCAATACACGGTACAATAAAAAATTTCACATATTACCTACTCTACAAAAAGCATCAATCTCTCACCTTGCACTGCGCCTTTCATGCCAAAACACAATCAAGCACTCCCTTAAACCTCAAGGTCCATGTGATCCTCTGTTCCATTACTCGAGGTCCCCTCCTACAATCATCATCTGGGTCCTCAAAATATGCTGTAAGATACTCCTGGAGTTCCTCTAATCAGCTGCAATGAAGTCCTCCTTAAAGGTCAGTGAAGCTCTCTCCAAATGCTTTACACAAACAACGTGTAGCTCCCTACACTACTCGAAGATTCCTTACGTTTCTGGAGTTTCACTCCTCAACTTGCAGTCCTGCACCTCCTTGCAGTTCAGTTCCCACTATGGATTTCAACTCACACTCGGAGTTCAGCATACACTCCTCTGGTATGAAGTTCTCTCACTAACTTCTCCCACACAAACCGTTGTAGTTCTCCGACACAAACCTTGTAGTTCTCCCAGACAAACCTGCAAATCCATCGTCATGCCATAATAAACGTTTTCCTAACGAAACATAATTAAATGTATTCACTGAAAATAAAACTCCATCCAACATCTCTTTAAACACTATTGGGTCGCCGTGACGGTCCTCCCCCATCCTGGGCGGGTCCACTTGGGAACACGTCCAGACACGTCGCCGGCCGCTTCCCTGGTCGCAAGGCTGGGGCTTCCCCCCTTCAGTCAGCCACTGACCTTAGGCGAGGGCGGACGTATCACTCCTCCCTCCAGCATGTTCTTTTATCTCTAATCTCTTATTTGAGTTCACTGTCACGATAAAATATACGCCCGACATGCATAAACACTTGCCATGATCGCTGGACGCATGATCAAACACAGGCAATCACTTTAACAACTGTGCTTATCGCAGCTTAACTATTAGCTTATCGCAGAATCTGTATCTCAAGGACACTCAGCTGGTGCGCTCCCAGATGTCGTCCTCTAAGACATCCAATAAAGTTTCTTTATGACCGCCTCACAGCTCTTCTGCTCCTGACTTGAGTACATTAAGTCGTCCAACAGGCTTCACACATACACGCCTGCTTGATTCCCTTCTCTTGAAGGAGTACACAGTTAGGATTCCGCCTACTGCCAGGACCAAAACCCTCTCTTACGACTTTTGTGACTCAAACAAGGTCATGACGCCCTGCTAGCCCCATGTCATGTCACGGATGTATTGACATCTCATTTCATGTCACTTATTTACAAGCTCATATTTTTAAATTATTCACTGACATTTATTATATATTAAATATATACATCTTTCCCCTAACCTCTCAATCAGGTCCACAAGGCCGAATAACTCTCACTGGGCTAGACTTGTTCCACCCAGGCTACATGGGGTCATAACACCATGTACCGTGTCTATACAAACTATTCACCTTGTCTATACAAATTATACACCGTGTCTATACAAACTATAGTACACATTGATCCTAACGCAATGTTCACGTGTTCTCTTCCAGGTGCTGCAGGCCGCCGCCACCGACCCCAGCTACGTGGACGATTACGGCAACCACCAGAACAACTACGGCTTTGGACTAGGCAAACGAACACCAAACTACGCCTTCGGCTTGGGCAAACGCCAGGGCATGTACTCCTTCGGGCTGGGAAAGAGACCAGACATGTACTCCTTTGGCCTGGGAAAAAGACCAGACTTGTACTCCTTCGGGCTAGGAAAGAAAGCAGACATGTACTCTTTCGGGCTGGGAAAGAGAGCGGACCTATACTCCTTCGGGCTGGGAAAAAAATCCGGCAATTACAACTTTGGTCTCGGTAAGAGAAGCGTCAGTGAAGCTCTGTCGTCCCAGGATGTCTCAAAGGCCGACGACCTGTCGCCCACGATCAGGAAGAAGCGAGATACGAGCCCCTCCGAGGACATCCAGGACGACAAAACGTCCAAGCACTACGGCGTTGGTGTTGAGAAACGAGAAATCGATGAGGACAAGAGGAGCCGACAGTACTCCTTCGGTCTTGGAAAACGTGAGGACGACGACGCTGAAAAGAGATCCGGACAGTACTCCTTTGGCCTCGGAAAGCGGGAACCTGACATGGACCTGTACAAGAGGCCCAGGAACTACGCCTTTGGACTAGGAAAACGCACCTCCGACGAGGAAGACGACGAGGACGACCAATATTACCCATACGGTCTTGGTAAGCGACCCAGAGTCTACGGCTTCGGCCTTGGCAAACGCAGTGACGACGGCCTGGACGACTACGATGACCTTGACGACGAAGAAGTCGAGGGGCTGAGTGAGCTGGAACAGTATGGCGAGGACCTCAAGCGGGCTGACTCCTATGGTCTGGCTTTTGGCAATGGTGGCGACGCACTGGAGATGGGACTCGGAAGGAGGTCTTATGACTTCGGTCTTGGTAAGAGAACTGCAGGACCTTATGCCTTTGGTCTAGGTAAGCGGGCTGGACCTTATGCCTTTGGTCTAGGTAAGCGGGCTGGACCTTATGCCTTTGGTCTAGGTAAGCGGGCTGGACCTTATGCCTTTGGTCTAGGTAAACGAGCTGGACCTTATGCCTTTGGTCTTGGAAAGAGATCCGGGCCTTATGCTTTTGGTCTGGGAAAGAGATCTGGGCCTTATGCTTTTGGTCTGGGAAAGAGAACTGGTCCTTATGCATTTGGTCTGGGCAAAAAAGCTGATCCATACGCATTTGGTCTTGGAAAGAGACCGAACCCATACGCCTTCGGCCTTGGAAAGCGAGACGGCATGTACTCCTTTGGTCTGGGTAAGAAAGCAGGACAGTATTCATTTGGCCTCGGGAAGCGGTCTGGCCCATATTCCTTTGGTCTTGGAAAGCGTGAAGACTACGACTCCTCAGACCAGTACAGCCTGGGTAGGCGGTCTGGAGCTTACTCCTTCGGTCTGGGCAAGAGGGCTGGTCCTTATAGCTTTGGCCTGGGGAAGCGGGAGTCCGGTGACGAGTCCCACCAAGACGAGATTCAAGGCAGTGTTGAAGAGACGTCCTCCTAGGCTCAAGTGTGGACTCTAATACAGGGTGTCCGACACTTTCTAACACGTAATATCATTCCCGTATTAACTCCTTTGATGAGACCGAATTCTAAATCATGTATTCGGGCAAGAGATCTTGCGTATATGCATCCTGGTGTGAAGCTTGCTCAAGCAGACGACCGTGAAGACTCGATCTTACGCAGGTCGTCCAAGACATCTTGGTGTCACCAAGATGCCTTGCCCCATACATTAAAGGCTGGGTCTAGCCTTAATAGAAGTGTCTATTGGGTGGCTGGTGGTAAGGCTCAACCACTTTAGATCTCGGTCTCACGGTCCCCGGGCTCTATAATAAATCAAATAGACTCTAGCTTCATTTCTCTTATTTCCTGCAGCTCACAGCTCCGTACAACCACGCAGGCTCGCCTCTATTTTATAAAGAGATGTTTAGTTCAACTTAAACTTTGAAAGTAACTTACAGTAACTTAAGTCAGGTCATGGAGAGGGAAGCAAGGAGCACTACCTTCCTTGACCCCCGGGGTCGTCTACACCTCGCCTACATCAGCCTACACACATATCCCTGACTCAAGGTGTGCAACATCATCTTAAAGATGTAATTCTGACTTATTTAATGATATGCTTAGGAAGTTGTTCCTTTAGTCCTATTTATAATGTCATTACAATCTCTTGGACAATGTTTTTGCCAACTGTAAACAAAAAAAAAGATTTAGTTACAATTGTGTATATATTGCAAAAGTTTAATATATTTGGTGATAATATTTATAAGGGACTTAATTTTATTTTAGTGGATGTAATTTTTGTTACATGGATATTGAGTCAATATGTCAGAGATTATACTCTCGATATAACGGAAAGATTATACTTTTATTTCATCTTAATTCAGATCAATTAATTTATAGCGAGAAAGCAATTGACTAGATTCTCATGTTGACGTCACACTCGCTGGCTGGTGTGATGTCAATAGTTCTGTACTTAATACATCCTGAAATTCCAATCAGTTTGGGATGAGATCACTGAAAGTTTCCACTGCTGGTCTATATATTGTACTCGCTATACATTGAACAAATGTAATTTGCATACCGAGTTGCCATGGAGACGGGAGAACTTGTCTAAACGTACCAGACTTCAGCCCTCTATTGGAATAATTTGTCCAGAAACTCTCTGATGACACATCAGGCTTGTGTGAAATGTGCTTCCGTGATTATATACTTATCCAAATGTTGACATAGCGGACGACAGCGTCAAGGGATAGCGAGCAGCGCTGTTCACTGTGCGAGGCTTCATGTACACCCGCGTCTCTGTGGGTCAAAACGTTTTACCTGTAACTATCTACTGTATATCAAAATAAGATATTGAAGCTATTTATTTTCTATATTTTTCCTCTGTTTTATAATATATGTTTGATTAAAGAGTTGATTCTTATTACCCAGCCGTCAGTTGGTCTCACAAGACCAAGTACCTGAACACACCTCAAGGCCTGCAGAGAGACAGACCTACTAACATGCTACAAGTCACTGTGTTCTACTGGACGAATATTTCTGATATACAAACATACTGTACATACAAAACCTTTTGGCCAATGTACTCTTCTTGAAAAACTGTGACTAGAAACACGAAAAGGCTTAATTAACATTACTCAAGTAGTAAGTAATAATAATAATAATAATAATAATTTTTATTTAGGCAAAGGTACATACATAAAGAGATTTTACAAAGTTTGTTGGCTTTATAGATAGAGCTAGTACATACAATGCCTAAAGCCACTATTACGCAAAGCGTTTCGGGCAGGAAAAGCGTTTCGGGCAGTAATTAGTAATTATCAAAATTAAATTAAGTAATTAAATTAAGTAATTATCAAAAGAATGCACCAAGCCGGGGAGGCTATGTGGCACCGTCAAAAGTGCGGGATATTCCAAGGCGCTAAATGTCCCTAAGGATGCCACGACGAGAACAAAACTGCATAAGGCAAACAACATCAGAGGCATCTTATTCACCAAAGATAATATCGAGTGATAGGTGACCACGATAAATTTGGGATTTTTTTTTTCAACAACAGTAAGTTAAGGGTCCTCTGATAGGTTAGGTGGGCAGGAAATTCTCATAAAGTTTCAAAACGTTATGAAAAACGTGAATTTAAAGTGTCCTCTTATAACCTCTGCGCGTACGCCGGACGACTCAAATAGAAAACGGAACAGAACGTCACTTTTGTGAGTCGATTTCATTTCAAATTACGTCCAAATTTGGCCATAGCGCCGCGCATACGAGCCAAAAGTGACGTTCTTTTTAAGAGGACGGGTTGGACCACGAGGGACAGTTGGGAAGCGAGACACACGCACATGTCAGGCTTGGTAGGGAGCAGACGTGTAGGGGCAGCGGTCCGTGTATATCGCGGGAACAATAGGGTCAAGGGAGCGGGTGTACCTGTGCAGTGGGAATCGGGGCGGTGTTGATGGAACAGTGACATTGTAAAGCAACGCATTGATCAAATCTCGTGGTGAATTATCTTAGTGAAGTTAGATAAGATAGCTAAGAAAGATCGATTCCTTAAGGCAGCATCAGTCGCACCAGCGGGGACCACGTGGAGACCTGAAGACCAACACAGTGTAGAGGTGACCCACGTGTTACAACAATAGTACAGTAATTCACCTGGAACTGTCGTCGTAGGGAGAGGAAGGGCTGGTAGGGTAGGTGGAGCAAGTCTAGGCTCCTCAGGAAGGGTAGGACAGAGGGAATCAATGCCTCTTAGGGGTCCTATGGGCACATATCCTAAGTGCCAGTGGTGCCGGGCAGGCGTCGTCCGCGTTGGGTCACATGCAGTTCAAATCTGGCCCACTCGGCCTGCGCGGGCTGCCGCGCGGGTAGGCCGTGCGCCGTCGTCGTCCACCAATCAGGGCACAGTCCTGCCTATACTGTAAAATGTCTCCTTGGCGGGCACTTTGAATGTGGTTCCCTCTACACTCCTCCCGTCCCTATAGAACAATGGGTATGTTGGAGGGAAAACGTTTCACTATATACAACATGTCTTTTTTGTAAAAAAGTCTGGTTTCATGAATGGGTCCTATTACAATTATTACCCGTATTATCTTTGCACTGTACACGAACATTACGATTATTACCCGTATTATCTTTGCACTATACACGAACTGTTTCAACATTGCATACACTACACTATTCCCTTTCCTTTTTTCTTTTTTTTTTTCTTTTCAGCTTCACTCTTAGGAATTTACTCTGTCCTAACAATATTCCTCGCACCGAAGCGCTGCTCCTTGAATGTGAGTCCTGTGACAGAGCAACTCTCTTCCCACATCTCACCCCCAGGATCCCAAGGGAAAGCAATTGGATCTATGCCTTCCAAGAACTGACCAAATGCTAGTTCATTCTTTATTTTCTTCTGAGCCCTCCTTTCCACATTGTGTCTTAACGGGCCCCACTTCCTGTGAGAATTTTGCTTTGCTTCCTGATCCAGACCTGTTTGTTCAGTAGTGGCATGGTCCCGAATTGCCACTTTTGTCCTGCATTGGATTCCTGAAGGAGCCTCACTTGACGAGTTCTCACTTAGCATAACCAAACTCTGCTGGTTGTATGTGTCTGATGTGCTAATGTCCATGTCCCCCCTGTCAGTGTGAGCCGAGATGTCTTCCACACCTCTAGACAATATCTGGTCAGCATCTTGCTCCGATGCCCCTCCTTGGCCTGTTATGCACTGGGTCGGATTTAGACCGAATGAGCCGACCCGGCAGCGTTTAAAGACGAATTCTGGTCCTTGAATGAAACATGTGGCCTGTTGCCCGAGGTGTCCCCGTGCTGGCGGACTGCTTCCTCATCCCTTTCGGATTCCTCACAGTCCCGAGCAAAATGACCCTCTTTTCCACACCTGTAGCACTGAACAGGTCGCCTAGGGGATGGGCTACGGCGATGCTGTGGTGACATAAGAGCAACTGTAAGGTGCCTCAAACTCTCACACACCTGGTCCAATCTCCCGTTGGTCTCTGAGATACCTGCTACCAAGGTGTCCAACTTCGCCTCCACGCCCCTGGAAGATAAAGGATGCGAGCCCGCACTCGATGGTCGGCAAGTGTTGATTCCAAAACCTGAAGAGCTGGTAGCCGGTGACGTGCCTGGGGAGCTGGGAAGGGCGAGTGTCGAGCGCCGAGAAGCGTCATTACTCCTGGGTGGCCGCTCATACTGGGAGTACCTTCCCACTGCATTCACTCGCACTGCTGGTCCTTGGGGCACTCGGTGATGGGAGTCGTATCCTTTGGAACCTGAGGAACCGTGGATCGCTATGGCATTGTGCTGGAAGGTTTGGGCCCGATCGATAGCCTCCTCCATGGAGGAGTTCCTCGCATTGGAAATGTATCCTGCCAGACTCTTATCCTGTAATCCCTGGCCGAATCTCATTACTGCGATTTGTTCCACTTCCCATCGTGGCACATGTTTGTAGGCCCGATGAGCCAAGTGGTGGGCCCTATCTGCCCAATCAGCAATATCTTCTTCTGGTTCCTGCTGGGCCTGGTTAAACTTCATCATGGCTACATCCAGAACTTCCCTATCGCCAAATCGCTTGATCATCTTATGCATCATGCGAATATAATCGATCGACGGTTCTCTGTCCAGTAAGCGATTGTAAAAATCACTTGCCTTACCCTTGAGGCACCATCCTAACTGTGTCAATGACGTAGACCCGCTCCAGTCCTTTTCCGAGGCATAAGACGTGAAGCGGCGGTAGAAGGTGGCCCAATCTGACTTCCCGTCATAGTCCAACGCCCGAGGTGGTGTGCGGAAGGTCTCTTTCTGTTGGCGATAACCTGTCCGCCTGCTGCGGGATAGAGAGGCATCCGAATCGGAAGTCAGAGAGCTGTGTGACGAGTGTCGAGCTGTCCGTCTCCTTGATCGAGCCGATCGATGGTGGGAGGGGCTCCCCTGCCGAGTACCTTGCTGGCCACTAGCCCTGGAGTAAGCTGGTGACTGAGGTCGACGTCCACGTTGGCTGCTGCTGGCGGCACCCCTAGAGGAGTGGCGGGTTCCCGTTTCGCTGGACGAGGACGATGAACGACTTCCTGCCCCCTGACCTAAGGGCCCAGAGCCCTGTTGGGACGGGTCCACCTCAAACGATATAGCAGCCATCAACTCGGGTTTGGTCCGAAGGCGGTTGATATCATAAATGTTGTCCTCCGTGATCACGTGGCGATGCCGAAACTTGATAATGCGAGCGGCCAATTTATCTCCTACACCCGGTAGCAGCTGCAGCTCAGCAGCCGAAGCAGAGTTTATCTTGATTAGAGCCATTGTGCTGGTGTTGAAAGTTAAAGCTCCAATATATCGTGCCACACCTGGTAATAAGCCTTAGATCTGGGGCCAGGCACCTCACATGTATACAAAAAAAAAAAAAAAAAAACACAGACACCAATGGCCACACTTAAGGTTCCAATGTTCAGAGATAGGGATAAATGTTCCACCAGGAAAAATAAGCACTGCACAGTCAATAATGTAAATGATGGGGCCAGGTGGGGTTCAAGCAACATAAAACACTGCACACTTAATTGGTACCTAAATCCCTTGAGGCTTAGACAAAAACTGGGCACTTACTGCACTTGCAAAACTGGAAAATCTGACATGGCAGGCACTTTGAGGAACTTTAACAAGCAATGTGCCTGATTTTCATAAGCACTGGGCTGAGGGTTCTCAAAAACACTTTTTTCAGGTGAACGTGTGGAACTGTGTGCAGGGCGGATCACCATCCACCTTAAATCTGGTATGAACACAAACTCACTGGCTCACTTAATGTATCTCTTCCCCTTGAGCCGTTACTTCTGTAGAAAGCCTAGAACAGGTTACGTCTAGTTAACAGTAGAAATGAGAAAATAACAGACCTGTAGCAAGCACCCTGCAGAACTGGGACCAGCGTCGCTGTAGTAAACACGCTGGAGACGGATGCGCTCGGGAACGACAGCCTGAAATCCTCCGCGAGCGGATTCGTAAACAATACAGGTCGGGTATGCTCATGAACGGTGGCCCGTATTCCGTGTGAATGGTGGTACTCGTCTCCCCTTCTTCAAAGAACTTGGGGGCCGCGGGAATCGGTGCTTGGGGGACAAGACAATAAAATGCAACAAATCTGGAGAAATAATCCGTATAAAACACTGATAACTGGAACTTATGGAGAATCTTGGGGGATTGCACGAGATGTGGAATAAAACATATGCACAAAAAAACAGGGGTTGAAATATCTTGGGCACCGCTATTGAACAACAAACCGAAGAACATCTATGGTGCAACCAAAGCCAGTAATTCGAGACTGGAACCGTTGAACACTATCTAAGACGTCTTGACTGAAGTCGGCAGAACGATGATGCAGATATCTTGGCGAGGTCCTCTTGATCACCGCGTGGGAACGTTTACTCGCTGC